TCCCGGAGCCGCTCGGGGCACGCACAGCCCCGCTCCCGGAGCCCCTCGGGGCACGCACAGCCCCGCTCCCGGAGCCCCTCGGGGCACAGCCCCCGCTCCCGGAGCCGCTCGGGGCACAGCCCCTCGCTGTTGCCGCCCGGCCCCGCGGGCCAGCCGCGCTCAGGTTGAGCCGAGCATCGCTGCGGGCCCTGCGGAGCCGCCGGTCGGTGCGAGTGACCCGGGAGCAGAAGGGAGATGCTCGCTCCCGGCCCTGGGCTCTTGGGAACAGGTACAGAGAGCGAAGAGAGCAGGGGACATAAAGCCCCTAAGCTCTGCACGCTGCACACTCCTTCACGGCTTGCTTCCATCCTAAAATTCCTAGCAGATGACACGGAAGGGTCTTCGTGAGACAAGTGTTAACTCCAGCCAACAGTCCCTGCAGAGAATAGAAACTTTACCCCAGGAAACATATCTTTATACACAAAATGCAGCTATAAATTGTTCATTTGTACCACAGCCAGCAGCAGTTCCATCCTGTGTGGTTTGGGGGGGCATAGCCCCCTCCTGGGGGTCACATCACCTTCAGAGAGGTGGTCTGTGATCTTCTCACTGCCCTCAGCAAGCTTTGGGATCAACCGCTTTACCACACTTTTGAGCACACAACTACGCTCAACACCTCTGAATATTTTCCATTTCACAAAAACATTGAATTTCCAGAGAAGCCAGACCCAAGCAGTCTCCCACAAAGAGTCCCATTTGCTCAGTACCTCTCAGGCATATGGAGCACGTTACCAGCTCCAGGAATGACTATTGTTTGACGCCTTTATGTCTGATTTCTTGAAGGTTACTTGCAGCCCTCAAGATGCTTCTAATGTGCTTCTGGAGCAGCAGGGGAGCCCACCTGCAGCTAATTTAACCATTATACATTCCCATAGGTAGCAATGAGAGGCTGAGCTCAAGTGCTGAAGTTGCCTGAGTTGTATTTTAATAGCTAGAAGTGCAAATCTTGGAAGCAATTTACTTGTATTAACTTTGTTCCTATCAAGACAACAAGAGATTAATTTTCCCTTTTTTCTTTTTTGAGAATAAAAACCTCAAACAATTTGATGTAGACCATTTAACTCATAAACTAAAAGAAAAACAAACTGGAACAACAGGCCGCCCGTATAATCAGGCTTCTTAATTCAAAAGTAGAGAACGAGTCACCTTGAAAGCCGTCTGCTCACCCAGTTTAGAGCTGCAGTCCCTGGCTCATCCTGCAGTTTTCCAAGGATACCCAAGACCTCAGGACACGATGGAGCAAGCCAGCACAGCGAAAGGGCTGAACCCCCAGGAACTGCAGAGCCCGTGGACACCGAGACAGGTTATACAGCAAGGCTGAAGTTACACACACACATTAACAAATCCAGGTGCTAACAGGTAGATTTAAGAGAGATGAGGGAATAATCAGCATCAGTGACAGAACAAATTAGCATCATAAGGCACAGTACCCCAGCTGCCAAACTATTGTCCAACGTGTGGGTTTGTGAAGCCAAGGAAGATGAACAAGTTGCCTCCATTTGCATTTTGTTTAACCTCGGGCCCAATCCTAAAAGACTTTATGCAGACAATACCCCCATTGACTTCAGTGGGAGTTCTGCCAGAAGAGAAATGGCAGGATGATGGAGCTGACAAATAATTTATTTGACAAATAACAGCATTATTTGGCGTATACTTTATTCTATGAATAGCATCGAATCAGTCCTGTGCAAGGGCTTGAGGCATTTAATTCAGTGGGGTTTTTGCTATTGTTTTCAGTGGGTGGCAACTTCAAATCCCTAGTTCTTTTCTAACATGATTTGTTTTAGTGCTTCATCTTTATATGATGGGTGTTCTTTTCATCACCTGTCTTTTTAAGTTATGTCACTTATTTGTACTTTTTAATTGGTTCTCATGTTGTTAGCAGAGGACAGTCCATTATATCATCTCCAGTTCCCCTCCTCACCCCAAAATCCTGCTAAGGAACCAGAATTATTCCTGTGCCCAGCAGAAAACTCAGTGAACTGGAATGTCCATGTGATGTAACATTGGTTATGTCATTACATAAGGAAACATTTGCGTTTCTCGTGATTTTGTGATCTCTGTATTGAGAAGCATTAAATAAAGATGGCATGTTACATTTTTCAGGCTGGAATTTGATTATTTTTTTTCCCCTTCTTCCAAAAGAAAGAGGGTAGACCCTCCCCACACTGCTCAGGTGCATGTTTTTGCCACTGATTATATCCATAACAAAGAGGTGTAACAATGAGACAGACAGTGGTTATCAGCAGAGCAGCCCCAGGTGATGTCGGTGCACACAGTCCACAGGTAAATGCTGGCCCTTGCATCCCTGCAAGGATGTGACAAGGGGTGACACTTACCTGTCACACCTCCTGACACTGCATAGCTGACAAATGGGAACCTTCTGGCACCACTGAGCCTCCAAGATAGCTGCTTAAACCCAGCAAGTGAAAAGTGACAGGCTCTTCAGCTGTCTGTCCCAACAAAGCCATCCTCAAACCCAGCATGGTGTTTGACTGAGGGCTGGGAACACACACCACAGGCATAGTGCAGTGGGCTCCAAGGAATTGAGCCCCTATTTCTCCAAAACACGCTCCACATACAGCCAGACTGGCTGTGGTGGAGGGAGGCAGGTGCTTAGTGGCAAACACACGCCTGAGTGCTTTGCTGGAACAGGGCTACAGATAACACCAGAGCTGTTTAGCCAATTATTGTCCATGACATCCTACCACACTTGAGCAATTTGCTTGGAACAATCACAGTTTACCTTGTCAACAGGTGCCTTGTATTTTAACAAATGAATATTTATCAACCGTACATCGCTGAGAACTGTATCGGTACTTCTTACAATGAATGGCCACATAAATCTGCCCAAACAATCCGCTCAGCCTAATCCTGCTAAAGTGACCACAGTACTCAGCATGAGCTTTGGATGTGTAAGAAAAGCTGGGATCAGGCCTAGAAACAGGGTTTTGTGTGCCTGCTGCCTCAGCCCTTCTCTGGCTGAATATAGCTGGAGCTTTGCCAGTGATTTAAATGGAAGCTGGACTAATTCCCTTATGTTTAAGATAAGCTCATCTCCAACTGGACTTTCCACCAATGGGACTTAATGGGCACGAGGTCTGCTCCTGCCAATTCGGCTTCCAGAGGAAAGCCTTGCTGTTTGTGTCATTTCAACCATTCCAGGAAAGGCAGCAATCCAATCTTTACAGCCTTATATTATCTTTGGAGGTCCAATTCTTCAAGGTACATGTTTCACTGAAGCACCTGAAGATCTCAGTGGACAGAAGTAAAATTAAGGAACCTATTTATTTTGTTGGGATAAGCCCAAATGACATGCTGTTTTTCATTTAAAAAACAACTTAATCAGCCTCAAAAGAAGTGTAAAATCCTCCATCTGTAATTAAGACTAGTTCCCTTTTTCAGGGTTTTTTAATTTTCTGGTGTTTCTTCTTTTAAGAAAGTTAAATTTATTTTCTGAAGAATATTTCAAGTCAGAGCAAATTTAAAGCTGAGTATGAAATTTTAAATATGTATCTTAATAGTAAAAAAGTCGTGCATGAAATACTCATAGATATGCCAAGGCTAAAAAGCACTGCTAGAAAATTATTTCTGGTGATTTTACTTAAAATTCTCTCATCCTGTTAAATGAGAAACTATTAGAAAAATTACCAGTCCATGCAAAACCAGCACACTACCATTGGTTTTATTCTCCCTTCTCTTCTCCTTCCCTCCCAGCGCTGAGCACAAAGAGAATGATCATGCTGCCACACCATGAATTGTTTCCCATGCTGCATGTACTCCACACTGAAAAAATGTGTGCAGACCTTTTTGATGGTCAGAATGTAGTATTCCTGTGCTGCCTCATTATTTCAGGGATATTTTTCACTTTACCAGACCTATTGAAATGCACATTTCAGACGTGCCTGTGGTACTTTTTTTTTTTTTTCCCCTGAAAAAAAACCCATCGTGCCTGAAAAGCACGGCCCTTAATTGTACCATAACACTAATTCTGAAAAAAATTGTTAGACCACCAAGCAATCAAAGATCTATGGAAGAAATGCAATTGATGTGACAACCCAGCAAGGCAGGACAGCCACTAGTTAAGAGAACACATCCTATAGACAATGCAGAAGATACTTCCATTTTTTCATCTTTTTCTAGCATTTCAACAGTGAGAGAACAATTATTTTGTATCAGACCAAAAATCCTTCAGCCCCTTGACTTATCTCCTGTGGCAGAGATCAGACCTGCTGTGTTTATTTAGAGATTACACCGTGTACAGCACATCAGAGTTCTCCCTCTCTAGATCTGTTCCAAGTCCCATCCTGGCCCCCAGAGACTGCCGGGAGCTGAGAACATCAGCCTAAACTCCCAGAACAGCAGCAGCTTTTTGGTCATTAAAAAAAATGCCCTGAGACACAGTTATCTCAAAATCTCACTGGAAATGTAAGGGAGGAAA